GTTCCAGTCACCACAGATGAACATGTCGACCTCAATTTTAGTTAGAGACACAGCTGTGTCAAAGCCAAATGTCAGCAGAATATTAGGGTAATACATATCAGGATGACATTCGCTGACTCCTCTGTGGTATCCCCAGTGTCACTAGCTGAGATGCCCAGTCTGAGATACTTGTATTAATAGTTGGAGATATACCATCAATCAGATAGCTGATGGCACCATTCCCTCGAAAGCCACATGTTGTAATTAGTAACTGTTAGTGGACCAGTGCATCCCATGTCAACAGCAGATCCGTGCACTGACTCCAAATTTTGATGTACCACTTGAACTGGCAGACTCACACCCACTGAATATGGGATATCAGAGAAGCATAGGACACTATCAGGTTTAACTTACTGCTGAGACTCAGACTCAAACCGGACTATCAATAAACTGAGTGCCGTCTTCATCATATTATGTTATATATAATATATCTGCTAAGGCTGCTCCGGTAGAAGATCACCTCCTAACACTAGCCAGCAACTACTCTTGACTATCTGTGACTACAGTTTTGGTAGAACTGAAAGTTTTAGGTGTCAATGAGGAAAAAGTTTTTATAGGAAGATTAAGGAATCCAATGCAAGTATGCCCACGCTTAATTATTATATTTTGGTGCAAAGTGTAATAATGGTGTGTCCCACATTTTACTATAAACAGTGCCTGGCACAATGCCTTGGTAAATCATAGTTGAGGAAGCATTCCACCTCCACATCCCATACTGTACAATCATTACTGAGTGCTGAGTGTGTTAGCATTAGGCTACTAATTCTGCATTGTAGCTGTAGCTGTCACACTTCACACAAAGTATGCAGCACAGGTGTTGACATTACACATAGGACTGTTTCTGCACAGCGTGACAAGGAGATCGAGCTGAAGTAGGTTTGAGATGACAAGCCCAATTTAAGATAATTATATGGTCAATATAGAGTAGAATCGAAAAAAAGCTAGAGGGAATCTCCTTGCACATGAAGGTATTAGACCATGTGATGTCAAGAGAAAGATGCAAGCTCTGGACAGCTGTTTCAGGCTTGTTGGCCTTCATCAACATGTAAATTGTACTGCACAGTGTCCCCAATGTATGTACAGACTCAACTACTCCAGTAGTCCACACCTCCCGTTCCCAAGTTTCACAAAAATCTATGCATATCCCTTTTAATTATAAGACCTCTACTTTTGTTCAGTGCCCATACACAGAAATTTATTTCTATTGTCTCTAAATTTACCCACAAACAAGGCTAGTTTTGTGTGTAAGATCGTCATTTCACCAGCTCATAAGTGACCTCTTCCCTTGGGCTAGTTATCTTGGTCAGAGCATATGCCTCATTAGGAGAGACAGGAACATCAGTTGTCTTGGTGGTAGGGTTAGTGGCCTCTGAATAGGTCTCAGTCTTGTTCCTAGACCTCCTCATTCTGAAGATGAGTAGACATTGAGTGAGGATGACTGTGGTCAGAGTGAGGATCAGCAGGAGAGATACTGCTGACACAGCAATCACAGCTGAGCCACAGGACTCCTCACTGCATGTACAGTCATTCTCTCTGTCTCCAGGAACTGAGGGTGGCACAATTTCAGCTACAAAATAATGTGAACAGATGCCATGTAAAGTGAGCTCACTATTAATTACATAGCTTGACAGGTCCTCATTGTTTGTTGGACATTGATTATGCATTGGAGACGAGTAATGACCATTATCTGCATCTAGTATATGCCTTAAAGAAAACATGAGCCCTGACGGTGTAAGCTGATCATTATCATTAATTTTTGCCCACCATGTTTATATCTCTCTTGCCACATTACCATGGGCTGAAAATATGTAGTACTCCTTTAGCAAATGCATGGTCAATAACCCCGCCTTAACAATTGTCATAAAACTCACGAAATGAAGATAGCTTTATTGGAGTGTGTGCATTTGTAATGAAAAGCACTAAAGTGCAAAACCCTCGGGGGCGTAGAATAGCTCTCAAGTATCAGAAGTATATATCCAGTATAGCTTTATGTAGTCTGTCACGTTCATGCCTGTGCAACGTCTGCTCAATTGTTTCAGAGGCTCTTGTGGTTTCTTTATGCAGTCTGTCACGTTCATGCCTGTGCAACGTCTGCTCAATTGTTTCAGAGGCTCTTGTGGTTTCTTTATGCAGTCTGTCACGTTCATGCCTGTGCAACGTCTGCTCAATTGTTTCAGAGGCTCTTGTGGTTTCTTTACGCAGTCTATCACTTCTTAGCCGGGCTGAAATTTGGTCGTATGTTTCAGCTGCCCTTGTGCCCTGTTTACGTAGTCTGTCTTGCTCTATTCTCTCAAATTTCTCTTCTTCAGTCTCTAAAGTTCTTCGACGTTTCATCGCCTCCTTTTTGGCAATACACTGCGCTTTCCTTTTTGACGGAAAGGTATACCCACATACGCAAACCGCCCGTCTAGCATGTACTGTTGTGTCACACTGCAGACATACCTTCTTCAGGCGTCTATCGCTCTCCATCGGTCAGCCCCCTCTGCATACAACGCGCGGAATGTACGAGTGCTGATTGCCAGCTCAAAAAAGTACCAGAAACGACCAGAAATTTGTTCGAGCGCTGCCCTCACAAGAAAAACGAAACCCTGGCTGCTCAACGGTGCTGTATATTTACGGTGAAAAATGTGTGCAACCCGCCAGTGTAACACGTGCATGCGTTTATTTCTCGATTCCTAGAGGTAAGCGAATAATATTGGCTTTTAACTTGGTTTTCACGCCATAACTGTCGAACGCACTGCTTTTACGAAAATCGCCAAATTTAAAATCAAGCCGGTATAGCGATGAACCTTTTGGTATCGCTCTCTCGTTGTCTCGTTGCGCGTGGTTGCAGAAAACGTGGTAACAGACAGACAGACAGAAAAACTTACGGACCAAGTACAGTAACCCTCGCTGCGCATGCACGTCGAGGGTTATAACTACAGCTAGCTGGAGACTCACTGGATGTCACGCTGGTTTGAACAGAGGAGGGGCTAGCAGTTGTTTCCATTCTACAACCTGTGTAAGATAATTTATTTAGACAATTCTCACTATACGTATGTGCATACGAACATCCATAGTTGTTGGTTATGCTTAGGAATTTCCATTACTCAGTGATTCAGGGTTAGGAGTGTGTAGCTAAAAATCCATATGTTGTGTAATAAGCGAGGGCAAGTATATAAAAAATACCATGAGTGTTTGCATGCAAACTGCAAACCTACACCCATGAAAACTCACATTGAGAAAGGCTAAAAGGTAGGTGAAAGCTGTGCAGGGGCAGAGCAGAGGTGCATTTGTACATGACGGAATGTGTGCATTCGTAGTAAACTGTAAACATACTTGAGAAATGCAGAGGTATTCCAGAGCTGTCCAGGAACCTGACCTCTCCCACATGAACCCACTGTATGGATGTGTTGTGTGATAGGTCCACTATAATATAGACTGTGCGATAGGATCCACTTGTGAATGAGCCTCCAGAAATGGTAACAGTTGAAAGAGAGTCACAAGATGACTGGAGGGAGTTGCCACCAGCAGATGCAAATGGAAGGCTATATAATATGTTGATGGTAGCTGCTAAGTTGTAATCTTGATTGAGATACACTACGATAGATGGAGTACCAATGTTCCAGTCAGGACAGTTGAACAAGTCCATCTCAATTCTAGTCAGAGACACAGCTGTGTCAAAGCCAAATGTCAGCAAAACATGAGGGACAGGGATATCAGCAGTTCCCCCATCCCTCCTCACTGTCACTAGCTGAGATGCCCAGTCAGAGGTGCTTGTGTGAATATCAGGAGAGCAACCATCAACCAGATAGCTTAGTGACTCACAAACCATCACACCACCACTGTCTACTAATGGACTAGTACATCCCATTGCCACATTAGATCCATTGACTGACTCTATTCCTTGAGGTACTACCTGGACTGGTGGACCCATAGCAGCAGCTACACATGGGATACAAAACAAGCATAGTTATAGTTCCCTAAGGGTAAACGTACCACAAAGACTCAAACTGAGTAGTAACAAACCAGACACACTCTTCATCTTCAATTTGAGACTTATCCAGTAAAAGACTGCCTCCTGTTGACACACTAGACTTCTACTATAGGAAGCAACCACTTGTGGGACATAGTAGAGGTGGGGTTTCACCTCTACAACCTATGCTCTTACCGTGTATTATAGCCATGGTGTGGGCATTGCAATGTCAACGAGGCTATTCCAAACTGTAGTTTATAATTCTCTTGGGAAATCAGAGTAGTGTGGTTGTGCTGTGTTTATCACTCTGCTACTATACTATATACCCTTCTATTCTTCTTCTAAACATTGACCGTTTCCCTTAGGTTGGTTATAATAGACGACCTGCACTATTATTCGTTAACAATAGTCGACAACGTACATTACATAATAATGACATCATAAAAAATTTAAGAGTTGTTCTCAAGGCAGGAGCTAGGTAGGATCTTGGAGCAGTTGATTCCTCGATATTGGTCAGAGCATATGCCTCATTAGGAGAGACAGGAACATCAGTTGTCTTGGTGGTAGGGCTAGTGGCTCTGCATATATAGGTCTCAGTCCCATACATGCATGTTGTACTACTACTTATGTGGACTTGCAATACACGAAGGTTATTGCATGACATGTGACAGCAATAATGTCTCCTTATGTCAGCATTTTCATACACATCAGTGCATGTGCAAACAAGCTAACGCTTTTGTGGGTGATTTTACCCTCAGCGCGCATGCGCAGCGAGGGCTACAGTACTTGGTCTGTCCGTCTGTTACCACATTTTCTGCCACCACGCGCACAACAAACAGGTAAAATAGCGACACCAACTGGTTCAGCGCTACACTGGCTTCGTTTTAAAATGGCGATTTTCGTTAAAAGTGCCGCGTTCTGAAGTTATGGCGTGAAAACCAAGTGAACAAGCCAATATACTAATTAGCAGAGGCTGAGAGGCCTACCTCGGCCTACTGTAGCTAACCCGTGTCAGACTCTCCGCGACCTACTAGCGGGAGACCACGAGTAAACGCATACTATCTTAGCCCAACCCATCATAGCGGTACCGCGCATGCACAGTTCGCCGAGGGTTTGCACTTTAGTCCAAGTGCATTGACCAGCAGTATCTTTGAAAGTAAACTACATTATTCTGTAACGAAACACAAACTTAGCCACTGAGTAAGCATGCTTGTGTTTAGAATCTTTACTCTTCTGTCACTGCACCACCTCATAAGTGACCTCTTCCCTTGGGCTGGTTATCTTGGTCAGAGCATATGCCTCATTAGGAGAGACAGGAACATCAGTTGTCTTGGTGGTAGGGTTAGTGGCCTCTGCATAGGTCTCAGTCTTGTTCCTAGACCTCCTCATTCTGAAGATGAGTAGACATTGAGTGAGGATGACTGTGGTGAGAGTGAGGATCAGCAGGAGAGATACTGCTGACACAGCAATCACAGCGAATACTAGGCCACTGGACTCCTCACTACATGTACAGTCATTCTCTCTGCTTCCAGGAACTGTGGTAGGCACCAGTTGAACTGCAATGAGATGAAGGATAATCAATTAGTGCTCACAGCTATAGTGAATACAGAATGTGCCAAATTTTATGTGTGACCTTCAGTGTCTCTGATGACAGTAGAATTAAAAGTTGGATGAGGAGTAGCCACACCACTTGATCTGAGTGCAGGATGACTTGTAAATGTAAAGGTAGAGCTTCAAAGTGTATATACTTGCCTGAAAATATAATGGGGCTTCCAGAGCTATCCAGAACTTGACTTCTCCAACATAAAACCGCTCAAAGTAATGATCAGTGGGATTATCAGTGACTAACACTACTAGAATGTGGACTGTTTGGTAGTTTTTATCAGATGTCAGAACATTCCCCCTGGAATGGTAACTTGTGATAGAGAGTCACACGATGAGTTGAATAGCTCTGTGAGAGTAAAGGGATATATACTAATATCGAAAACCAAGTTGTACTCTTCAACTGGATACACTACGATCCGTGAAGAACCAATGTTCAAGTCAGAACAGTTGAACAAGTCCATCTCAATTCCAGTCAGAGACACAGCTGTGTCAAAGCCAAATGTCAGCAGAACATGATCGAAAGGGATATTAGCATTTCCCTCATTCCTCCTCACTGTCACCAGCTGAGATGCCCAGTTAGAGGTACTTGTGTCAATATCAGGAGAGACACCATCAATCAGATAGCTGATGGCACCATTCCCTAAACTACCACATGTTGTAACACCATCTGTAACTGTTAGTGGACCAGTACACCCCATTGACACATTAGATCCATTGACAGACTCTATTTCTTGAAGTACTACCTGGACTGGTGGACCTACAGCAGCAGCTACACATGGGATATATATACACAATAAACATAGACTTTCCCTAAGGTTAAACATACCACAAAGACTCAAACTGAGAAGCAACAAACTAGATACACTCTTCATCTTTGACTGATCCAGGGTTCCATCTTCACAACCCACGCAATAACCAAGAACATTATGATACAGCTATATATGGAAATACAATGAATTTTGCAGGCGTGGGCATTGCAATGTCAACAAGGCCAACTGAAGTATCAGAGCGTCGGTAGACGCTCTATATAGGGATGACACGAGTGAAATCTCACGTGATCCACGTACAAAACGCCTCAAAACTCAGCGACAATGACTCACCATGGCTTCAAAATCACTAGCAATAGTCTAGAGGCCAATACCTAGCTATACATATGCCCCAAGACTTCCTACGTGCCCTCAGTTCCCCACGAGAGAATTCGCACTTACGCGATTTCGCGATTTTCGTGTCATCATCATCATCATATTTCTTCTTCTTCTTCTTCTTCAGACCCGCTAGCTCCTTACCGGAAGCAGTTGAAGCGTTGATTTTTTCACAGAACGTCTCCAAATTTGCCGGAGGTGTGCACGCATATCAAGCGATCGCTTGTTTCTTGCCGCAAGTCACTACGGTAGATCGTTGAGCTCTTCCACGGTAGTCACTGAACAACGCCATTTGCTGCTAACTCAGCATCAGTGAGCCGCATGCGCCGAGGAGGGCGTTTCCCCAATGCGGTGCGCGCGCATCTCGTGCGTGAACCAGACTAAGCCAGGATGCCTGCAGAGGAACTCTTATCCTCCAGTGCCTTCTGTAAGTCAGTATACACATTTTTAACTGGCTAGCTTACGTTTTGCTGTTGATTTGTACGAGGAGCAACTTGGCAGTGTGCGCCGTGTTACGCGGGCCTTGCCCAGCGCCTTCATTGTTTGTCCCCCAGGTTATAGCTATCATTGTAGTCTGATTACTGAAGCCTGCCTACGAAACCACCCCACCATATGTGCCACAACCTAATTGCATCGTTGTTGGAGACACTACGCATACACCCTGCTTCAGGTACATTAGCTTCTGCTTTCAACAGTTATCTCTACAACACCCATGAACATCAGAGTGACTGAAAATGCAGAAGGCATGAAAAATAGTGGAAACAAGTGGAAAAATCATTTCTTCAAAATGAAGGGGTGATATAGGGATGGCTTGAAGCACCAAAAAGGAAGAAACAAGGGTCATTACACAGCAAAGATGCACCAAGCTACATGACACCATCCCTATATCTTTGTGTTATATAAGTTCACAAGTAAAGTTTACTATGAGACAAAGATATAGGGATGGTGTCATGTAGCTTGGTGCATCTTTGCTGTGTAATGACCCCTTGTTTCTTCCTTTTTGGTGCTTCAAGCCATCCCTATATCACCCCTTCATAAAGCAGTGAAGGAAGTTATCGTGCGGAGCATTTATGCCGCGCACGTTGCACTCACACAAACCTGTGGACACGTGTACGAGAGTACGTAGGTATAGTGGTGTCTCTAAACAGTGCGACTGTCATGGTTTGATGGTACACTACAGTGATATATTAATGTACATAACTGAAGCTACGTACGTACTCAGACTTTATCTGGTAATCAGTACTATACAGAGCTTGGAACTTTTTGTTAAAGTTTGGTACGCTGTCATGCCCATTGATAAAACCTGGTGAGGAGCTGCAGAGGCTACGAGTACCAGAACTCATCGGAGAGAAAGCTTTATGGTCTGCACTGGTTTGATACGTTCCGTAGACCAAAGCTAGCTAGTGAAGTAGTCATTGTTTTTCTATGCCAGGGGACAGGTCAGAGGGTCTCCGACTGCCATCCTGACCATCTACTCCCCCGGAGGACATTCCGTCATCAGAGGAGCCTCCTCTCTCTGTCTGCCTGTCCATGCACGGTGTCCCTCCTACTGTGGTCAGAGGACCTGGCTGAAGCTGGCTCTCCCTGACATGTCCCGGTCCTCACTGAGGCTCAGCCACAACAGAGACACTGCAGCTCCTCACCGACCCACGAGGTCTGCCAATCTTGCCGTACTTGTTACTTAGCCTAATTCACGTCATAGTGTATGTGTACATTGCCATTACTGTTAGGTATCTACATGGCAGTGAAATATGTTTGATCTCCATTTCAGTAGTTTGACTGAAGTACCTGCAAGTGTGTGGTGACGAAAAACGTACGCAGTGTAAGCTGTGCTTTTTGTGTTACTATAGGAAGTGACGGCATTAACATGATGTTGGGGAGACTGTTGAATGCTGGCTTCATCTCCAGGCAGGGAATGGCCACACTCTATTTGAGCATGCTCCCCTGGACCTCACCATTGTCCTGGTAGGTATATAGGTATTAGGTATATAGGTGACTCTCGTGTGTCGTATATAGCTGAACCTTTATATAGCTGGCAGACCATCTCTCCAGTCCGCTTACGTGCAAACGCACATGTGTGTGCCCCCACCATGCGTGCATGTCCATGGCCCCAGCGCGTGCAGTTGCCGGGCGCGCGTCTATGCATGCGCAGACCAAAGAGAGGGTCTGCAGCTAGACTACCTTTTACTGAATTGATAACAATTTACAATGCACATAATTGATGTAGCTACATAAGTATGTCCCTCCCCTATGTGCAAAACGGTGGTAGTCTCAATCTGACATCTCCTTCCCCTCTGCTAGTGTTGCATCCAGCTGGCCCAGGGGAAGCTGTCTACGGAGCAACTGACAGACCAAGTCCTCAGTCTCGTCTCCACCCACTCGCCTCGCCACCTCAGCGAGCTCTCCCTGGGTGTGGAGCAGCGGGGGGACTCCCGGCCGTCAGCCGAGATCGTCCGGATGATGCAGCGGCTCTCAGACAGAGCCAAGCATGCCCAGCACTGCTGCAGCTGCATCACCACCTGCTTCAAAGTCGCAGTGGTCAGTAATACTCTTACCTACTCTGATATCATATCTGTCCTTTTTGTTTTGTTGCTTGCATCACACCTTAATATGCCAGCTTCCCTGGAAGAAAATGCTCTGCCTTGAAATCGTACAGATAAATTGTGCTGGGTATAGTTGCCTTGACTTTTGACCTGGTTGATCATGCTTCCCCCTTCACAAATTCATCCATTATTTCCTCTAATGTTTTATTTCTTCTGTTGCCTCAGTGCCTTCCACATGTCCTACACATCAGTGGTCACCTCTGATCCATTCAAAATCCTCTCTCAAGTCCTCAGTTGTAGGTTCACAGACCGCTATCAGCTGGCCAAGAAGTTTGTCGGTGACTCCAACCTCAAGTCTAAAGAGGTAGTGTAAAAATACACTCTGTGCACATGCGCAGCGAGGGTACTGTAGTTGGGTCTGTGTGTGTTACTCTACATCTCACTTCTCCAATGTTCTTTCATCTCACAAACGATACGACTTACTTAACGGGCAATGAAGGTCTGAAATTTGGAACAGTTTTCTCTGAAAATGCTCTGTTGCAAAGCTAGAGCGCTTCCAGCATTGTACGGCTAATGCGTAGTTGGCCATTTTTATCGCTGTGGAAAATGCGCATGCGGTTATATGCTAATTCGACCGGCCCGATTGCTCTGTATATCTTGAAGGCACAAGAAGTCACAATGATCGGCGTGTATCGACTGCCGCATGCTATCTACTACTGTAGCTACCCCGTGTCAGATTCTCCTCCGCAAGCTATACTAGCGGGAGACCACCACGAAATAGCCCATGCGCAGTTCGCCGAGGGTTTGCACTGTAGTGCTTTTCATTGTTTGTGTGTCCATGTGTGTCTTTGTGTATTTGGGGGATGTGGTGGTAGCTTTCTTTCTTTGCCTAGTGCGCTATTAGGTGAAATAATCAGCAACCTTATCAAATTAATGTAATGTCACATGACTGTGCATGCACAACATAGTAAAAAACACAGTACCTGCAGTTTTCTCACACTCAGTCACAGTTTTTTCCCCTTTTGTCCCGGCAGAAATACAGTCTTACAGGCCATACATATTTTCTGCGCATGCATTGAGGTGCATGTCCATAAAGGGTATCCTTCCCCATCCTTGATGTGCAAGCACCTCAACGCATGCGCGGAAAGTACGTATGTATGGCCCGCTAGACTATGCTGACAACGCCAATTTAATGTGACCTTTTGCGAGGGCTTTAAA